AGAGAAGGTGGCCATAGCTCAGTTTGTGCCAGATGGATCTTTTTTTCTGAAGAAGGAACTGCAGATAACCAGGATAAAGAGACTGGAGTGTCAGCATAACTAAGTCTTGTTTTTGACAGAAAGGAAGCTGCCATTTGGGTTAAAATTTTCATATAGTGAGTAACTTGTTGGAACAGAACCTGTGATGAAATTCAAGGGACTGGCTTAGCAGCTCAGATGACATTTTGGAAAGGTACAGCCTGCAGTTAAGTCTTAAAACGTTTAGTTTCTTCAAAATTTCACTTCCAGACAAATTTATTCAGCAGTTTTTGTCTTCCTTTTAAATTTAAGCTCAAAATGTAAAAATACCTGCCAGAAAGTCCTGGTACAAAAGGCACAAAAAGCAACCTCCATCAAACTAATCCCATTTGCAAAGATCAAATACACTCAGCATCCTTCTCGACTTCACAACTGCCGTGAACAAATACTTCTGCCCTGGACCAAATAAGAAAAATTCCAGGCGTTCGACCAATCCACGAAAGTCTTGTTTCATCCCAGACACCTGCCAGGGTTCCAGCTGTCTCCAGAGCAGCTTCACAGCCGCCCTCAGCCATCTCCAGCGTGCTGAGGTGAGCAGCCAGGTGGACCTTTTCAAGCAGGAAATTCCGGTTCTCCTTGCAGGCAGGAGCCCTCTGTTCCAGGCAGAGCAGCGATCCGGCCCCGCTCCGCAGGCGGAGCAGTGGCTCCCAGCCCTCCCATCCCACAGCCAGGACAGGGCCTTGAACTGGGAGATGGGGTAAGTCACTGGCGCCACGTAAAACACCACCTTTTTTTAGGCAGGTTAACTAAAGGAATTCGTATTCTACAAGCTGCTAGAAGAAGTAAAATTAAACTTTATTTAAAAATTCTTCTAATATAGAAAACGAGAGGAACCAAAGGCAACACAGCAACGCCCCCGGTTCCATCCCATTACAGGAGCTGCTGTATTTACAGCTTGGGAAGGAGCGCTGGCAGAAGGAACACCCCCTGCTACTCAACGGAGAACTACAAACACTTAACAACACGTTTGACAGAACATTTCGAGGTTCACTGCAGGGAACGATTAAACACACTCGCTAAGACAGACAGCAGAGGAGCACAGACAGGTGGGGTCTCATCCCAGTTTCTCCCAGCCTTCCATACAGCCTGAACCGCCGAGGCGATTCCTTCGTGCCCGTTCCTCGCTGCCGTAACGGTACGGAAACGGGTTTACTCGGCGTGATTCAGAGAGGTCAGTAATCCCTACAGTAAAGGGGGACATTACTGAACTCCTCCTATGGTTTCACCTCCTGCAGAACTTGGAAAAGCTGGATGAAATGGAAGCAGTGACATAACATTGTGCTGGACTCCCTGTGCCCACGGGCAGCGCAGCGACTTAAGGCCCCGACGTTTTATCCCTGTCGGTTTTCGCTCGTGGTGTCACAGTGAGTGCACGTGTGGGATGACAGAGGATGAAGGAGATGAGTTTGATTTTATTTTTTTTAACTTCCCCAGATGCCAAATCTAGACTCCCGTGCACATGGGCCGTTCTGATGTTGATACTGTAGGAAATGAAATACAACAGGCAAACACTTCTTCAGACTGCGTTCTCTATACAGACACGTTTTTTACACTATCTACAAAACAGGGATTAGATGCTTCTGTGTAAGTTCTTGCTACTTATTTAAAAATACTAGAGAAAAAAACTGTACAGTTCTCTAAATTACATCTTTAGAAGAATAATTTTTTTAGAAGTTCATAAAAGACTTCGTGTTTGTTGCTCTAGAGAATTAAATGATTGGACAAGAAAGATTAGAAATAATGTTGTTCAAATCAAGTTAGACAGACCAAGCACTTAACAGAACATTATCCGTAAACTGTAAACTCCTAGTTTTCTGTTCAGCTTTACATACACATTCGAAAATTAGGAAGAACTTCAGTTGTGAGGTCCTCATTTTAATCTCTGCTACATACAAAAGATACTGAAAAGCAAAAACTATTAAATAATTTAATATACAAGTGTAGTTAAAAAGCACTGTACATTGTAACAAATGTACATTGGATTTTAGAGATAGAAAAATCAACGAGTTATTTTCAAATTTACACGGTTTTTCAAATTCTGTGATGGGAAAAGGACTCTGGTAACGGAGCAGAGCTCTGGCCTCCGCAGGGCCGTGCCCGAAAAACGCCGCGGCGACGCCGGCGTGTCGCAGACAAGGGGAGTCCCGGGTTGTTCCTCCTGACGTCACGAGTTCAGCCACCACATGGAGCACACGGTTCCTGTTCAAAACCTGAGCGGGCAGCCTTTCCCTCGAGGATTTCCTTCCTGCCCTCCCTCCCCAGGACAGGCTGGCAGAGGGTCTGGCCCACCAAGCACCCGGCGTGCACACCAGTACCGCCAAGAAGCTGGAGCATCGCCATGGCCAGTCGCCCTCCAACAACACAGTCCTCAGCTCCACGCGTCCCGGAGCTGGGGGGTGAGGTGAGGAGATGCACTGGTGGACACCTCGCTCGCTGCAAAAATACTTTTCTTAAACTGGGCCCAAACCACAGCTCTCTGGAGTTGGGATTTCTCCATGTTGCCTTCTAGAAGCAGCAGGTTTTGGCCAACATAAAGCGATTTACTGGAGTTGCCGTGGGGGTGTGATCAGTTAAATAACAGCCTCAGATTGGATGGGAAAAAAAAAAAAAAGACAAAAAGAGAATGCCTGGATGACCTGACTGGGACTCTAGCAGATTTAAAGCACTTTTCCAGTCACTAAAGCACACCTTTTCCAGTCACTAGGCACTCCCCAGCTCAGAGCGCTGCCACTAAAACGGCCGTTGCAGGTACCGAGTTCTTGCAACTCGGTGCCGTATGAAGGGAACAGCCAAAGGGACACTGCTTCCCATATCAAAAACAGAAAAAAAAAAAAAGGGAAAGACTTAAAAGTAGTCCATGGGCTATCAATATTCCTAAAGCAGGATTTACCTGACCAAAATCCAAGCGCGGGAATGCCGCGTTGCAAGGGGACGGGAGCTGTACGTGGGACAGGCTGCGGCACAGAACGTCATCTCAGTGAGCAACTGGTGAGGAACAGGGTCTGTCTGGGTGGATTCTCCCTGTGGTTTGTACCTCCAGACACCCTGTATGCCAACTCACAGATTTCTTTCCTATTTTTTGAGTTCTAAGGCAGACTTTAAGCAGCATTGAATTTTTTTTCTTGCAAACCCAGCAGTAAGACTCTCTCCCTATACCAATATCAAGGGCCTGTTTCCCTGTTGGAGATTTAACAAGGCCTAAAACATACGTGGCTTCTGCAAGAGTAAATGGCTGAGAATAGGATCTAAACCAGCAGAGGAAACACAAAATCCTATTTTGTAACTGGGACAAGCACTCATCCCGTTAATGTCACCCAGGGGCAAAAACGGAGGGGCCTGAATTACAAAAGCAAGAGTCTCTGTGAGCTGTCGCTAGACAGGGGACAAGGCTTTGGAAAAAATGACCATCAAAAGATGGACTAGATGATCTTTAAGGTCCCTTCCAACCCAAAGCATCCTATGGTTAAAGGCGGATTTCACAGAATTCCTTCTACAATAAAAGTTGTGAAGGTTTGAGGGAGTCAAACACTGCCTCTAAAATACTCTCCTCCTCCCTCAGAAACAGGAGCAATCACAGAAGGCCCTAGACAAGTAATTTTTCTGGCAGATTCCTTTTCCCTCCCCCTTTTAAGTTGGGAGATAAATATTCAGAGCTACCAAGAGAGAAAAACACCTTTATTCAACCCCATGAACCTCGCCAGCTTTACAGGGCACTACACGGACTGGCACAGCTCCCCGCTATAAAGCTGCTCATGCTTCATGGAATGAACAACTCCCATAGCTCCCTGCAGAACAAACTGGGGCCTCGTCTCTCCTGTTGGGAGACAGCTGCAGAGGCAAACGCAGTGAGAATTCGCAGCTGAAGAGTTCAAAAAACTGAGATAAAACAGGAAAGCTAACGCAGAAGTTTTTGCCAAGGGCAAGACTAGAGTTTAATTTTTATACTAAGCCTCTGGCTTATATCGGATCTGGGTTTTAACCACCTAGTTTAACTCTGACTTCAGTCATTTGTAAAAATCATTAAGGCACAGATGCTGCCTTCCCTTGGTGAGGCTGCAGTAAAGATGCAAAACGTCGTTTCCCAGTTGCTTGGCCGTGGAGAGACCTGGCAGGAGGACAAGGAATCTCCTCCTTCCCTACAAATCACAACAAAGTAGCAGAGATGGAGAGAGCTGTGGTTCTGCCTTACCCTGTCTGGGGCTGCACGTCGGTGCAGGGAGACACAAGACCCTCATAGGGACGAAACGGTGGCACGTTGTCACACGCTGGTGAATCCAGGAGGTGGAACCTGCTCCTCGGACAACAGTGCCAGGCTGCTCCTGGAGCCACCCTCCGAGGACACCGGCACATCCCGGCTGCAGACCTCCTGCCCCTCAGACCTCGGATCTCACCTTCAGTGCAAGGCCACAAACAGCCCTGCCAAGGACTTGCGCACAGTGAGAAGGAAAGAATATTACCTCAGAAACTAAATTTAGAACTTTAGGGCACCCTACAGTCCATCATGATTTAATCCAATTATTCCCAGGAGTGGAAGGGCGCAGGAAACATTAGAACTGGCATGCATCATACTCCAGGGAAGGTTTAAGCATTCAGAATACAATCGGTATTCAAAACTGTGTGAGTCCTCTTCACCTCCTGCGACAATTTTTAAAAAGTAGGTATCTAACAACTTAAGGAACAAGCGTCCTTCGGACTAAACCTTAATTCTCAGCACGAGGAAAGCAGATTAAAACCAGTAGGTATATACACGCTAGCTGTATATTCACACACGTTATGCAAAAAGCAGCTTAAAATGCCCTTCTCACTTTGCAGGTCTATGAAATGTACGTTGTCTTTATGCAATGTTTCCTACGAGGCCCTCACTAGAAGAGGAATTTGCTGCCTTTTCTTTGAAGAAAAGATTTTGCATGAATTTTTTCTCCTTTTTTTTTGGCTTTTTTTTTTTTTCTTTCTTTCTTTCTTTTCTTTTTTAAACACACTGTCCTGGTAGTTATTTCTGTTTCACAGGAGACTGGCCAGGCTGGTGGTGGGTCCGTTCTGTGCCTGGAACTGGACAGGAGGTGGTCCGTCTGTCCACTGAAAGATAACAAACAGCATGAAAATCCTGCAGCTGCTGCCCGGGGAGGGGAGGAGCGGTGGCGAGGCCAGAGGAAGGAGCTCACCACACAGACTTTTGCTACCTTGAGATAATTAAAGATTTCATCACGAGTAGTTGTGTGTCAGGTTTGGCTTTTGTTTTACACGCGTGGAGCTCCTGTCCCTTGAACAGTGTTTCTTCTGGAGCTACTCCGCGTGCCCGTCATTCCAAACCTCCCCGACTCCCGTGCTGGGTCCAGGGCGAATGGCAATCAAGTGAAAGCATTTCCTGCTCTCACAGGTAAACATCTGACCATCCAAGCACAGGAAACCAGGGCTTGCACCCAACCTGAGATGTGTCTGAGCCCATCACACACCGCAGCTGTAGCGCTTCCAGACCACGTAAACCCTCTGGTCCTCACCCACTTCATTACTAAAATATTTTCCTCCTACATTAGTCAAAAATCTTCTAAAATGGGCAGATGTATTATTTGTTTCTTAATCCTCTTCCCCCTCCAGGTGTTTAATCCAGCACAGACTACCCAAAGCCAGCAACAACAAGTGAAGAGAGAGAGGCTGGGGCACCGGCCCCAGCCCCCGGCCCCGG